TATAATTTAAAATTGGCAATTATAGTTAAATTTATATAGAATTTTCATCCTTAAAATTTTTTAAATATATATTTCTCTTTCTACAGCGATGATAATAGTTATTTTATAATATGAAGTATAAGTACATAAAACATTTTCTTTATTAATTTTTTAAATTAAATTTAATAATTTAAAAATAATGTAGTAAAAGCTTTAAAAATTTTGAATTGATGATTTTAAAATAAAAAAACAATTATTATTTTTATTATTAAAAATAAGTTAAAAAATAAACAGTTGTAGTTAAAATATAAGCAGTTATAATCATAAAATATGTATTATTTATGAAAATACAATAATAAGAATAAATCATAAGTAAAAGTGATTATCTTGATACTAATAAAAGGCATTTGCTTAAGAAGAAATTTCTGAGCTGAAAAGATTTCAAGAAACATTAAAAAATATATAAAAGAAAAAAGATTTTATATTCAAGGAGACTGAATTCATTAAACTACTTGCAAAAAACAAGCTGCCAAGAAAACCATTTCTTCTCAATATACTGTACAAGTTTAATTTAAAAAAAGTCGAAACTCAGATACAACAATAAATTTTTCCAATAAAAAATTTAATAGATTTTAATTTATTTATAATTTTAAAAAATTCCAAAAATCTCATTAATAGTAATTTTTAATAATTTAGATATTTTATAAATATTAGATTAATAACTAAAGATTAAAAATATATTAATTATTATTTATTTTGCTTATTAAAATTACAACAACACGCGTCTTACTGATTATAAAATATTTATTGAAAGTAATCTTTTACAAAATTTTATTAATAGAATAATCAGGACGATTTTATATTAAACGAGATTGAATTGGACAACAAATTGGACAACAACATATAATAATTGTTTTAATTATATATTCTAGAAATAACAAAAAATACTGCATAAAAGAAATAATCCATGTCTTAATATTAAGAAAAAGCCAACACAAAAAAGCACAAAAGAGGACTTCGCACAGTGATTGCCATCGTTTTAGTCGTAACCGTTGTAATAGGATCTGAAGATGTGAGACTGCTTATTTTGCTTATTATGAAAATTTAAAAAATGCCGAAAGTGAGTAAATAATAGAATAATAAAAAATTATATATAAATATAATTAGGATTTATTTATAAATATCAAGAATACAGTCGAATGAAAAATTGATATAATTAATATACTATAGTATAATGAAAGTGTATAATATAAATTTAGATACCAAATATATTTTTGAAATTGAAAAATTAGAGGCAGAAAAACAAGAATGAATTATCAGAAAAATGTCATGAAAATAAAATTCAACGCGATTATTTTTAAAAGACTTGCAAAGAAATTGCCAAGAAAACATTTATTCTGTATAAATTGTCCAAGCTTAAGTAAAAAAAGTCGTAAAAATTTCTATTAAAATAATTATTATAATTTAATAAAATTTATTCTATTAGTTTGTAGTAGTATGAAAATCACAATTAAATATATAAAATTAAGATATTAATTTAAATATGTAAATATAAGTGATATTTTTATAATCTGACAATAAATTATTTTATGAAAATTAATCAAAGTTTACTTAAAATGTATAATATACGCCAATGTTTTAACTGGCTATATAAATTTTTGCACTTTTTTAAAGAAAAATTTAAACCTTAACGAATGTTTATAAAATTATATATATGTTAACTTGTTGATTGGCTAATTGCATTGTTTCGATTAAAAAGTGGAAAGACAAAAAAAATGGATTTTTTACGCCTACGGTTTAAAAAATGGAATGGATAGAAACATTTATTAATATAACCAACGTAAAATGATTTAAAAAAATAAAGATAGATATAATTTAAAATTGACAATTATAGTTAAATTTATTTAGAATTTTCATACTTAAAATTTGTTTACTAATATTTATTATTATTTGCTTAAAGAATTAAAAAATGATTTTGATGATTACAAATGCTTTTAATATTCTAAGATAAATTAAAACGTAAACTACCTATATAAATATAAAAATATATCAGTTTTATAAATTCTGTCTGAATTGTCACATTTAATATAATTAAATTTATTTTTAATAAAAATCTTGTTATAAAATAAATTTTAGAAGTTATTTTAAGAAATAATATATTTTTACACAATTTCTTAAGATTTATTTTGAAGAACTACCATTTTTTGCCCAGCAAATATTTATACTTATACATTTGTCGGAAAAATTATTGATGATGAACAAATAATTAGTTCAAATAATTATATAGAAAATTATTATTATCGCAAAATCAACAATAAGATAAAATTTAATGCAATTATAAAAATTTGATATAAGTATAATAGTTTTGGAATAATTAAAATTATAAATGACAATTTTCAGAAAACTTATATTCTCCTGGTAAGATTGTGGATAAAATGTACAGGAAATTCTTCTAAATTACCAAAAAGGATCAAGTTAATTATAAAAAATTAATATTATATTCTTCTTTCTATTTTTAAAATATTTAACTAATTAAAAACAGATGGTATAGACTTTAAAAAATCTGTAAATTTTTTTATTTTATAATTGTTAAAATTTCTTTTAATAAAATCTATAATTGATAACATAAGCTATTATAGTTATATAATCTTGTGATAAAAAAATTTCAAATCGTTATAAAAATCTCAAATGGTTATATTAAATTGTATCTAAACACAATAACGAAATTGGAATTATCACTTAAGAATTTTCATTTTCAGAAACAAGTTTATCAAATATTATTAAATAGAAAATAATCTAGTTAAAAATTGAAAATTGAATAAAGTAATCGATCGAAGATAAATTTGATTATCATGAATGAAGAAAAGTATACATTTTGGTAATGTATATAAACAAAATCTGTAAATATAAAAAAACTTACTTTCATTTTTATCATATTATTAATAAACACTTATCTGAATTAACAAATTAAATATAAAATTAAATAATATAACAATCGAAAAGATTACACAAATAGTTTATAATATATAAAAAATTGATTATCAAAAATGATATTATGAAAATAACACCTCTCTGATAAACAAATAAAAATGAATTTATTAAATGGTAATATAATGGAGGAATATTTAAGTTCATAGGTTTGTAAATTGTAAATGTGACCTGTTTGCTATTTTACTCTAATTATTTGATTAAAATAATAAAATTTAACGAATATTTGCTTAATTCTTATGTAATATTTTCATATTCCCATATTTCTAAGAATTTAAAAAAAATTATGTAATAGTTTACACAGAGCCGTTTCGAAATTTCGATTTTAATTCATAACAGCTCTAGTCTAGAAATAACAAAAAATATATTTAATGAAAGAAATAATCAATTTCATAATTCTAAGAAAAATTTGGATAACTTACTTGTGGATGTTTTGATAAAATTTTAAGCATAGAAATTTTAAATTAAAAAATTCTTATTCAAGAAGAAGAAATTTTTGAGAAGTGGGAAGAAAATTTTGAAAATGAAGAAAATTCTAAAAGAAGAAAAATTTGAATTCCGAATAATTACAGATTGTTCAATATTTTAAAAATTTGTTAAAATAAATGTCTAAATTAAATTATTCAAATAAACTTTTTTAATTTAATGAATTATTTATTTAATGAAATATTTAATGAAATTATTCTACGTTTCGTAAATAATTTCCAAATGGGTTATCAATTGAGTGATATGACTGAATTTTCATGATATTGAAAATTATATTAAATTATGCTATAAATTTTAAATCATAATTTTTCATTATATTTCTCTTTATTATTTATTTTTCTGAAAATAAATTTTTATTTTATAAATATTTGTTTGTAACAATTAGATAGTGAAATTACTAATTAAATTTTATCAAAAGAAAATTCAAGCTGAATAACTACATATTTAAATTAAAAAACGATTAAAATAAGTATATTAGGAGTAACTTTATTGTTTGTATTCCATTGAATTAGAATAGCATTGTGTTACGTTACTCCATTAAAAAATATTTTTTTATTACATGGAATCTTAATGTTGATTAAAAAACTATTTTCTTATCCAAACCCATTCACGATTTTATATTTTAATAGTAAACTAATAAAATAAAAAGAAGTATTTTATAGATACTTCTCCGAAAAAATGAGTGGTACAGTTCGACTCAGCTTGCTGAGACCAATCGAATGACATTTTCTACCCGGTTCGTATCGGGCCCTGGACTAGACTACAGTCAGTTTGAATAAATATTGAATATGAAAATGTCCATAATGACAGACTTGCGGAACCACAATAGTAAATATCACAGTTCTTAGCTTAAAGTTCTTCTTAGCTTAAAGTTCTTAAAGTTCTTCTAGTAAATATCACAACTATTAGCTTAAAGTTCTTTCATCGGAATGTTTAAATATTTCATGCATAAATTTAGGGAGAAACATATTCTGCATCTTACTATCCTGTTCTAGAAGTTTTCGGTGAGTTTTGTCAAATTGAAATGCTGCATTTAAGGTCATCATCTATCAAATTTTAAATTAGTGAAAAAATATATCTTATAATAAAATATTTTACTAAATTAACAAGTCTCACTGCCCCGCTAGCATCACCCCATTTGCAACATTCGTAAAACATTAAAGCTTTGGAAAGTTTTTCAATTTCAGTTTGTACTATTTCATATCCCATCATTGACAAGTCTGATTTAGCTAAAATTTGCATATACCTCTGAATGTATTTATTTCTGCTCAAACCTGTGTGAAGAAAAATTAGTGTTCTGATAATCAAAAATTCTTCTCTGCTCAAATTAAATTCTTTCATTTTAATCACATGCTTGTAGAATACAAGATGAAAAAGTTTCGAATGAGTAAATAATAAAGGACTAAATCCATTGGGAAATATAAGAAACTCGCTTCCTTGAATGTTTAAACTGTAATATAATTGACTAAAAACAATTGTTGCCAATCCATTTCGAGTATAAAGCCTAACCTAAATTTTTTGTGTCTCATAAATTTTTTAATAAATCTTTAATATACTTTGTCTTCAAATGAAAGTTGACTTAATACTGGCAATGTTTTTGTCATTTCAATAATTAAAAATGAGTCGATGAAAAGCCAATTTGGAGATACAGGGCCTTCACTTATCCGTGTGTCACATTCCTTCAATCGTTCCTGGTAAAAGGCCAGGCTTTTAGGTACTCTCCTCTGATACTGATAAATTTTAGCAAGAAAATTTATAATTATAAAATGAACTTATTTTACCGAAAATTGATCAGATCTTGACAAGATAGAATAAGTTAAACCTCCTCCACCAATATTATTTATAATATCAGATATACTTTTATCATAAAAAATTGATGAAGAAAGGTCTGTCTCGGAGTAACGAATATACAAGAGATTATTGTCAGAGTATAACAAAATTTGCAATAATTCAACTTCAGGTCGTTCTGTTCTAACTACAATTTCTTTTTGCTAAAATAATAAAAATGATTTGAAAGATTGACCAATCTCGAAGGAAGAATGGAGCCAAAATTTTTATCTAAGATATGAAGAAGTATTGGTTCAGGTTATAAGAGACCCAAACCCTATACAAGAAATTTTCGAGAACCCGCCACGAACTAAACATTTCTGTGGAACTTTTTCCATGAAGAAATCCCTGGATCTTAACTAGGCTCATCCTTGCAAAATTCGTTACCATTATTGAAGATTTTTCCTCAAGTTGACGTTTTTTCTCCGTTAATAATGCAGACATTTGCTCTATATTAAATCCATCCGGAAATTTTTGTATAGTTCTAAAGTCCATTCCACCTAGAAGACAACGATCAAAACGGCAAGAACGGCAACGTTCCTCTTCAATTTTTTAATATTTAAATTCAAAATTGCTTAAAATTTTCTGAATACCTTTTTCAATTTGGCAATTTGCATTCTTCTTACAAATGTACGAGCGTTGATTTAGTACAGAACGACGAAAAAATGAACGGCAACCTGTACACAAGTTAAATATTCAGTTTATGATATTTTGAGGACAAAATTTTATTTGATTTTGGAAAAGCTCTGACGTACCTAGGCAACTTGGAACATCAAAATGGCAACAATTTGTTGGTCTGGCACAAACAACACAATCAGTTGGCCTAACCTTCCTGCTCTGAAAAATAATGTAATAAAATATCCCTCAAAAAATATCCCTCAATTTCCGATTTCCGGCGTTTTTTTCCTTCCGATTTCCGAAAAGATTTTGATTTCCGAGTTCCGACTCTTGAGCCAATTCAAATTTCCGGTTCTTCCGATTTCCGACACCTCTGACTGTTCCGATCCACTCTGATAAGTAGTGTAAGGTATGATTGCCTAAGCAAAGGTGATCTTTTGGGCGAGCATTATGTGTTAATGGATTTTCCCAACCATTACACTTTAATTATTATTTATTGCTATTTCCTGTATCACCTCCCATTCACATGCTTATGTTTATATATTGTTTATTGCTTCACCGATAAATCAGTTCCCAGTTAGTCAGTCTTTAATATATGTGCCCCAAAGAGGAAGCACACCGGTGTTGCTTGGTAAAGGCTTAGCTAGGGTCTGGCCAACCCAATAGCTTTCCTTAGGGAATATAATGGTAATAGTGCCTAGGTATATTTGACAGAATGGACCCAGCATGATTCCACTCAACTGGTAGCACCGGATGCCGAAGTGATGCTTTGGCGATCCTGAGGCTCTTGGGCAGAAAATGGAATGAAAAGAATATGGAGAATATGAACAACAGAAAATGGAAACAACATATGATAATGGAGAATATGCTTTTGGGCTGAAAATGGATATGGCACATGGAATGGATGATTTGGCAAAAAGAATGGAACATGAAAATGGCAGAGCAAGTTTAAAATTTAACAAAAAATGGGGAAACTGGAACTCGCGCGCTAAATAAAAAGCTTAGGCAATATAAAAGACCATGCATGGCAAGTGGGCTAGTAAAAAAAAGGGCAGAATATTTAAAAAATAAGGGCATGATTATAAAGAAATAAATATAGCATAAGACCCCGGGGCAACAGAAATAATGGGCATATTAAAATAAAATAATAAGAGTAATTTTAAGATGTAAGACCATGGCGTTCAATTAAGGCTTAGGCCATTATAATAAAGAAAAAGCCCTTTAAAAGAAAAGCCCTAATAGAAATAATTATGAAATTTGAAGGCCTATAGTTCATGATGTAAGACCCGGGCGTTCAATAAAGGCTTAGGCCATTTAATGAGTATAAGTAAGCCTCTTATAAAAATTAATTAAAAAAAATATAGAAGATATATTTAAATAGAAAAAGGCCCTATTAAGAAAAGGAGTTGTTATATAGAAAATTCAGGGCAATTTAATTTAAATGAGTATAAGTAAAGCCCTCATAAAAATATCCAGAAAAATAGAAAATTTTTTTAGATGTAAATAAATAGAAAAAGGCCCTAATTAAGAATATGAGTTACAAATCTTATATTGAGATTTTAAGACAATCTAAGTTTCTGGTTTAATTAAATTTTTTTGTTACTCCCAGAATAGTAGATAAGTAAAATTTAAGAGAATATAAATAGGTCCAATTTCCTTAGGGAACTAAACGGGTTTTTGCTAAATATTTTATAGGACTTTAAAAAATTATAGTAAAGTAAGAAAGTGATTCTAAACAGAAAAGGGGTAATATTATATAAAAATATTGAATAGTGAAAAGTTTAATAATATGTATGAGTATATTTTTTGAGGAAAAAATGCAGAAAAGGTTATAAATTTAAAGCGAAAGGGTGATCAATATTAGATAGCGCAATTAATAAAAGCAATATCTCTCGGGATAAAATGGATACCAACTTTTAATTTGTTCACATTCAAAATTTACCTATGTTTGTTTTCGTTAAACTTTTAATCTATGTATTCATTATCTATATTTACTAGTATTTTTAACATTTATTTTATACTAAAATTAACTTCATTTAAGAAAAAAGTCTCTTTTTACTTCTTCAATCTTCCCTTTGCTTAAAAAAAAAAAACTTACATTCTAAATTAACGGGAAGAAATAGAACTTTTGTCTGCCTAGGCATTGTACATACCTATTTAGATATTCAAAATATTTTCGGAGTTTTTTTTAAATCTGGTAAACTAAGCAAATATGTTTATTAATCATCTCAAACAGAACAAAGTCCATTGTGTGAAAAATTATATATATTTTTTTCATTATAATAGTTTAATCTCGCTTACTATTACATATTTATCGGCAACTACAATCTCCTTACATTATATTTCTTTTATACTTTCACCTTTGCAAAATGTAATTAATAGTGATTAATATTTCGAACATTTTTTTTCTCACTAAATGAGTTTCATTGTTGTTTTTAGAGGAAATTTTTTTTATGGCCTAGGCTATATTAACGGTTATAATTTACTTTTCATTATGTTTTTGAAATTTTTTTATTTTAAATTTTTTTTTGAAATCCACTTTAAGTGACTACAAAATTTTTTTTATGGATCTAAAATTCTCTCTTTTCAGTCAGATTTATCGATAGAGTGCATAAATAGCATGGGTCCGGTAAAAAAAAAGAAAAATAAAGAAAACCTAAATGAGGTATGCCCAGTAATTTTGTGAGAAATAAGTAGTTTTTCAAAAAAATGGATTTCAGTAATTGTTCTACATATGTAAAGTGTGTGATTCTATTCAAACGTATTTACTGCCTAGGCAAATTAAGGATTGTAACTTATGGATTTTTCATTTTCTCCTTTCTTGTTTTTCTCAAAAATTATGTGGATCGAGCAAGGGAATTTATATACTTTTATGAAATTTTAGTTAATATTTGTTCAAATAATTTTATTTAACATTTTCAGTTATAAGCTGGATAAACGGTCCCTAGTTTTTAGAATTCTAAATACCCAATTTTGTTTTATATATTTTTTTCTTTCTCTAGAGTTACAATTTTAGCACTGTTCCTTTTACTTTAAAATATAATTTAACTTTATTTAAGTATTTATTAATTTCTCTAATTTGTAGCTTATATCCTCCAATAGACTAAAATATTTGAAGGATTAAAAGTTGAATAATAATGGGCATAGTAAAAAGAAAGTCTAAAATTAAAAAGAATAATTATAGGAAGTCCCAGGCATCCAATTTAGGTTTAGGCCATTATAAGGATTATGTATTAAGAAATAGAAAGCCCCAGTTCAAACGTAATATAAATTGATCAGGCCCATATATTGTCAATAGTTTCAGAGAATTAAAAAAAAAAAGAAAACTTTTTAATTAATAAGATAAAAGATTGGAATGGATGTTAGGCAAATAGCTAGAAAAGATTTTATGGGCTGATAGGAAGTTTTAGAAAATAAAAAAAAAGAAGTGGTAAAATATTTAGGTATTTAAAAAATAAATAAATTTCTAGTCAAGAAAAAGCAAAGGCACATAACTCGAAGATTAGATAACAGCAATTTTATTAAGCGCAATTAAAACAAAAGCAAGCTCTTTATTTAAAAATGGAGGCCAAATTTATTGTACATTCAAAATTTAATTTTGTATTTCTTTTAATTTTTGATCTATTCCTTATCTTCATTGTTTAGGCAGTCTTCATATTTTTACTATTAGTATTTTACAATGAAAACTTCATTTATTCTCAAAAAACATTGTTATTAACTCCTTTTTGTTAAAAATCAACATTCAGATTAGCGGGAAAATAAGAATTAAAAAAAAATTCTTTTTGGTACCTAAACATTATATATATTCTTTTTCAATTTTCGGTAATTTTAGGAGTTTTTTTAAGATGGAAACTTTAAGGAAACTTCTTAATCTCAAATGAAAAACAGACATTAAGTACAAGCTTCATTTTCTTTGTTTATATATGTGTTTATTATGTTTCGGTTCCTTCTGTCTGATATTTTAATCGGTGACATTCAATTACATTTTTTTTACTATTTTCACATGTATAATTATAAATCATTAATAGTGACTCATCTTCATATAATCTCGCCTCTTTTCAAATAGCTTTTATTTTTGCAAACAGTCATTTAAAAGCCTAAGCTATTACAAGTTGCTTATTTTTTTTTACAATGTCATTTCTTGAAAATTTTCTTTAGAATTTCTTATCTTTTTCCAATCAAAAAAAAGCTCAAGAATTTAGATGTTAAATGTGCCTAGGCAATTTTTAGGATTTAAAAAGTCTTTGTTTCAGTTATATTAATTTCTTTAAATGATTAAAAATAGCATGAGATTCGCCCTCCCCCGTGACATCAATAAAATAAATAAAGAAATGAAGTATTAAAAAAAAGTTTGCTTAGTATTTTAGAAGCAAAAAAAAGAAGTCAAATTTTAAAAAACATATTCATTGTACAGTGCGTAATTTTTATAAACTTATTTAATCTACTGCCTAGGCAAATGTAAGAATCTTAATGGGTTCTCTTTCTCTTAAGTTTATTTTTCTGTCATTCAAAATCATACATCAAAATCATACATTTATTTCAAATCATACATTTTGTTAGAAAGAACAAGCGATATTTTATGCATTATTATGGATAGTTTTAAATCGACTTTAATAATAATATGGGTAATAATAAAAAAAAAAAAAGTGAAGGGGAGTAAAATTTAAAAAAAAGAATAGTGAAACAATAAGTTTTTTTATGGGGAGATCAGCTGAAGGGTAAAAGAGGAAATTATGCATATAACAAAGAAAGCTGAAAGCTTATCAATGTTGACAGTGCAGTCAAAATTTTGATAAAAGGCAAAATCTTTAGGGAGGACTGAAAATGATTTTTAATTCGTTTATGGTTTCTGTTGATTCAACCTATTCTTTATCTATTTATTAATTTTGATGTTTAGGCACTCATCAGTTTTCTATTTTTTTTCCTCTCATGTCATACTAATCATTATATTTCAAAAAAGATTTGCCTAGACAATGTATACATATTTTCAATTTTTGTCAAATGAACTTTAATAGTTTTAAGTAGGGTAATTTTATAGCCCTATAAATCCCAAAACTTTAGGAAAGGAGTTTCATAACAAAGGTCATTTAAAAATTTTTATTTAAGAAATTCATTTCTCTTTACAATTGATCTAAGCTATTCGTACTTCTAATCGGCAGTCACAATTTCCTGCCATTATCAGAGAAAAATACATTTCCACCTGCAAAAAGACTTTATATTATTTTTTCAAAGGTTTTTATATTATCTAAGGTTTTTATATTCTTTTTTTGCAAAAAGAAGAGACATTAATAATGATTCATCCATTATATTATTTAGTAGGGATTTATTAATGTCCTTTTTCAAATTTAATTACTTAAAGGCCTAGGAAAACAAATGGATTATTTAGAATTGTTTTTTTGAAGTTTTATTTAGCATTTCATATTCTTTACTAAGAAAAACCTAAAATTTCGATATTTAAATCGTATAGAAAGTTTTTTTATGATCGGAAATTTTTTTTAGTTCCGATTGTTTAATTTTGACAACGCAGTAATACTCTGAAAATGTTATGGAGCTCAATATATAGATTTTTCTCCTTCAGTTTTTTTTTCTTTTAAAGGGCAGATAGGCGAGATTTTTATATATTCGGTTATGAGGTTTAATTAATGATCAAAGGTTTTTATTTAACCAATCTATATGGAAATACTGTTACGGTGATAATCTGGAAGATAAGGTTAACAAAAAATCTTGACTTCGGACTTTCTCAATAACTGTTTTTATTTCTCTTATTTACTGAACTTTGATATCATTTAGAAGCCTGGGCTATAGACTCTGAAAACTTTTTCATAATAATTTTTGTAGAATTTTTACTTCAAATTTCTTATTTATCAAAAAAAAAACTTAGTAGTTTGATAGAAACTGCGTCTAGGCAGTTTTTGGATGGCAAATTCTTTCAGTTTTAATCTATCATTTTGTAAAGTTTGCGCGTTAATGGAACAGAACACAGATGCAGCGATAAAACTATAAAAGAATCAGTAATTTAGCAGTTTTAGTTCGCTCAAATTAATTTTATTTCCTTGCCTTGGCAACTTAATGATTTCTATAGATTTTTCCATTTTTTTCAATTCTCTCTTCTCTCTTTCCTATTTAA